AGCCCCGGTGAAGGGCTTCGTCGCCGGGACGCGTACTTGGAAGCCCAGTCTGTCCGGCCGTGTACTGGCTGGGCGGCAGGAGGCCGCGGTACCAACCCAGGAGTGTTTCTAGGCTGGGTGTGGAAGAAAGGGCGCCCCGGGTGAGGTCTCACAGCTTTCAGGGAAGAATAACCTGCAGTGAAAGAGAGAGGATAGCCAGACTGACATGGGACTCGTGTAAGGAAAGTGCAGACACACGTGTGTGGGTGACATAAATGTCAGAACGTGAGAAGTTCACAGAGGACCATTTTTCTCTCCTCCCAGTCTTCCCTATCTCCATCAAGGACAATCCCACTGTAGAGCTGTCCTACCAGAAAATTGGTGTCATTCACTGACCCTCTCACTTTCTCATATCCCACTTGTAATGTGTTAGAATCCACCTTCCAAATGTACTCAGAATATGGCAGACTTTAAAAACAAAAAATAAAAACAAAACAAAACAAAACAAAAAATCAACTCTTTTCATCCTGGCCCAAGATAGTACCATTTCTTTTCTAGATAACTGTAACCTCTTAGCCAGCGTCTCTGCTTCCAACCTTGCTTCTGCTTCAATGACAACCAGCAACTTGAGTGAGCTTGTGAAGATGGCTGTCAATCGCCTTACTCCTTCACTCAGAACCCTCCAGTGGCTCCCCATTGCTCAGCTGATGACAATAGCTTACAGCGGCCTACAGCAGAGCCTCACAGCATCTGACCTCTTGTCATCCTGCTGACTCGGTCTTCTACTGTCCCCTCACTCATGCCACTCTGCACACTCTAGCCTCCTCACTACCCTTTGAATTTGCCAGGCCTGTCCTGCCTGGAAGGCCATGTACACTTAAGAATCCCATGTCCAGAGGCCGGATGGTGGCGCAGTGGTAAAATGCCACGCTCTGCAAGGCCGACCTACGTAGGAAGGTTCCAAATCTGCATGAGGAGACCTCACTGAATATGTCAGGCATGCACATGCCCATGATCCAGGCTGGCTGAAGCTAGGAATGGATCGTGGCTTAGGGCCCTACTGGGGATGCTGTCTTTCTCTGTCTCTTTAGCTCAGGGGAAAAAAAAAAATCCCTACAATCTCTCATCCCTCCCTTTTCTCACCAATAATATAAGCTTGCTCCCTCACCTCTTGCAGATCTTTATGTCATCACTACTCTGCAGTAAGTTCTTTTCTGCAACCCTAACACTGCAATCCCACACTCCAAGCCTTGCTTTATCTAGCTCCTTAATGCATATGAGCATCTGATTTACTCTTTGAAGGGCTTCATCGCCAGGATGCATACTTGGAAGCCCAGTCTGTCTGGCCATGTACTGACTGGGTGGCTGGAGGCCGTGGTACCAACCCAGGAGTTTCAGGCTGGGTGTGGAAGAAAGGGCGCCCCGGGTGAGGTCTCACAGCTTTCAGGGAAGAATAACCTGCAGTTATCCGGCTTACTTACTGTCTGTACAGTGCAAGTATCCCAAAGGCAGAAAGTTCTGCTTGCCTTATTCATTGGTGAATCCCAGGGCTAACACAAGCTTGCTACAAAGCAGTAGTTCAACAACTATTTGTTGAATCAATTTAAGAGAGCTTACCAGGGGAAGGGTCTGTGATAGGTGCCAGGTGTACCCTCTGCATAGCAGAACCAATTTCTTTTTTCAGAAAGGAAGGGATATAGTTTCCTGTCAGTCCACTTGAACTTGTAGAGCCGGAACCAACTGAATGGCCAAAGCAAAGCTCATTACTATGAAGACAGCACACATAACAATAACAGCATAAAGAGCTATAAAAATTAAGTTTTTACTTTTAGAGGGAAAAAAGAATTTTGATGAAAACAGAATTCTGAGCAGAACATCCTACCATTCCATGCTGTCAGAAAGACTAGGAAGGGCAAAGATAGTGTTGCTCCTCTGTACTGGAACCAAATACAGGCTGGCTATTAGAGAACAGGGCATTTTTTTGGTTTGTTTTCTAGAGATTTTTGCTATACGGCACATGTACTCTCCAGAGAGACAGAGAGAGACAGAGAGAGAGAGAAATCACTTCCCCAGGGTGTATGACCATGTGCAATCCCTTCTCTACCATTCTCTCCTGGGCTTTCAGGTACACATGTGCCCAGTGTGAGTTTCGAACCTCTAGGTCTGGGACTCAAACCGTGGTCAACCTCGTTGAAGTCCAGCATCTTAACCACTACACAACCTACTGGACCCAAAGGAAGGGACACTTACCATTCTCCTTTATTTTTGTGAAAATAGGTTTAGCCTATTCTTAAATTTGATTTTATTTTACTCCACAATATAGAATAGTAACCCTTCCGTGTCAGTATATATAAATTCTAGAGTATAGCTAAACCATGATTCATTTTACCATTATCTTATCAACCAACACAGGAATCTTAATTATTTAACTATAACAAATAGACACTGGGTTACCCTGTACCCTAGTGATTAAGGGAGCTAGATACCACATTGCTGACCATGGTTCAAATCCCAGCCCTGAGGCTTAAAAAACATGCTGGGCACGTGTGTGTAAATGTCCGAAATCTGGATGGGATGGACAAATGAAGAAGGGATTATGGCATGACCACCCTCCGTTGAGAGGTGCTTTCTCCTTCCCTCAGCTCTTCCCTCTCTCTCTGGCAAGTGCACACACCTTTTGGAAATTAAAAAAAAAAAAAAAAAACTGTATGTTAAAAATTTTACTCTATAATCCAAAAATACCCTATTATTTAAAAATATTAAATATGCTTACTTTTTAAGTCATTTTCATGTGAGGGTTTTTTTTTCAGGGCATGGTCTGTATGCTACTAATCTTTGCATTCTGGGAGATCAATGAAATGCCTAGCATACTGTAAGTAATCAATACTAGATGAGTGAATACATATAATAGTTATTAAGGCTTAAAGGTACATGTGGAATACTGAAGAAAGCTAGTATTGGCCACTATATAAATAGAAGTTCTATCTGTTAGGAAAAGAGTTAGTAAGTGGGGGCCAGCAGGTGGTATGGTGGGTAAGGTGCTGGACTCTTGCATAGCTAACTGCAGTTCAAGTCCTGTGCCCGGTGGCTTGCTTTTTCCCTTTCCCTTTCTCTCTCTGTCTCTATCTTGTGACTGCATATGCTGCATAGCAAAATTTAAAAAAATAATAATAATAAATAAAATTAGGGTCAGCAGGTAGTGTGGTGGTTAAAGCACTGGACTCCCCCACATGGCTGACCACAATTTGAATCCTGGACCTGGTAGCTTGCTTTCTCTCACTCTCTCTGGTGAGTACATGTGCCCTATAGCAAACTTTTACAAAATAAATTAAATAATTATTTAAAAAATAATAAATACAATTAAATTATCTTTTAAGAGAGAGAAATTTTTGCTATAGGGCATGTGTGCTCACCAGTGAGACTGAGAGAGACAAAGAGAGAAAAAGTGAGAAATCACCCTCCCAGGGGAGATGGCCATGTTACAGTCCCTTCTCTTTCACTGTCCTCTCGGGATTTGGGGTACACACACACACACACACACACACACACACGTGCCCGGTATGAGTTTCAAGCCGCCAGGTCCAGGACTTGAACCACAGTTAGCCATATGTGAGTCCAGTGCCTTAACCACTGCACCACCTGCTGGCCCCTAAACAGGTCATTCTTTAAAAAAAAGAGTAAGTGGTAAAGTAGCTCTGATTTCACAGCACAGAGAACTCCTGGCATCGGCTTCCGGCAGAGTAGGGACGATGGTCTGAAATGCACACGTGAGGGATTGTGCTGGCCACTGCAGGGCGGTTTGCATTTTTAGAAAATAAAGAGCTATGAAGAAAAAAGTCAGAAAAGGAGAAGAATGTATAATCAATAAACACAAGATGACGAACCTCATTAGTAAACAGGACACGCAAGTTCAAACACAGTAAGACACCATTTCACAACCATCACATTAGCATAGTGGTCTCGACACTACCAAAGCGGTACCAGTGATGTCGTGCAATTCCCACACCTACTGGAGAACAATTTGCCAATATCTGTAATGTGGAAATGAGCACACGCTTTACCCTAAAATGTGGATCCCTAGTTATCACACACTCAGAGAAAATCTTACACAAGTACACAACAGGGGTACGATAATGTTCATTTCAGCACTCTTTCTACCAGGTAAAATTGTAGACAATTGTGTTCCTCAAGGAGAGAAAGAATAAATAAATCACGGTTTAGTATAAATAGTACACTATGGTATTATAGTCACATATTATATATAAAGAGGCTTCAAAAAGTCTGTGAAAAAATAAAATTAAAGTGTGAGTTTATTTTGGTGTAAAAAATTAAAATCCAAGCGTAGTGCTTTCGTAATATGCAGTTTCCGTGAACTTTTTGAAGATCCCCTCATATGCTACAGAATATGTAATAATATACATGCAGTGTAACTCACACACCACATATTTATTGAGTGAAGTCGTGATCTGGGATAACGTTCAGATAAAATTTACAATATGCAAAACCCACCATGAATTTTATACATTTATTGATTCATTGATTCATTTTTAATGTTTGCAATTTGCTGTAGGGTATGTATGCTCACCAGAGCCAGAAATATAGAGAGAGGGAAAGTGAGAATCACCCCCGTGGTATCCCCACGCTGCCATGTTGCAGTCCCTTCTCCTCCATTCTCCTCTCAGAATTGTGGGCAAGGACACAAGCCCGGCGTGTTTTCAAGCTGTGGAGCCTGAGGCACAAACTGCACAATTAGCCATGAGTTTGTGTTGTGAAATCAGGGCTACTCTAACACTTTATTATTTTTTTTATTCAAAGAATTACCTATTTAAGGTCAGCAGGTGACATAGTGGTTACGGCACTGGACTCTCACATGGCTAACTGTGACTCGAGTCCTGGACCTGGCTTGAAACTCATGCCAGGCACATGTGTGTGTGTGCCCCAAATCCCAAGGAAAACGGAGGAGAAGGGACTGCAGCATGGCCATCTCCCCTGGGAGGGTGATTTCTCACTTTTTCTCTCTTTGTCTCTTTCAGTCTCACTGGTGAGCACATGTGCCCTATAGCAAAATCTCTCTCATAAAAATAATTATTATTTTATTTATTATTATTATTTTTTAATTTTCCATAGGGCACGTGTGTTCACCAGAGAGAAAGAGGGAGGGAGGGAGGGAGGGAGGGAGAGAAAGCAAGCTACCAGGTCCATCCTGTTGCCTTAACTTCTATGCCATCAGTTGGCCCCATATTTTAAAGAAATGCATGGGAGTAATAAACACAACAACAGAACAATCAGGCTAAGGCAGGGAGAGGAGAGGAGGACAAGGGAAAGGCCTACGTATTGGGATTCATGTACATTCGCAAAGTTTGACTTCTCAAGAAGGGTGGTAGACACATGGGTGTTGCTATATTCTTTCTTCCCTGTATTCCTTAAAATAAATGAACACCTAATGGATGGGTCTTCAGGGACTGACTATGTGAGGGATAAACCAGTTGAAAAGGGTCCACTGAGAAGGGGTCTGTCAGCCTAGAGGATTTAGGAAATTCATTTGGCTCTTTAACAAAAAATGCAGGGAGGGTTTTTCAAACTGTCCCTCTCCCAGACAAGATATTCTGATGCTTGGCCTAAGGTTGGTCCTCAAATGCTGGGGATGAGCTGGAACCAGGTGGACACAGAGCTGCATTCAACTTCTAGCTCAGAAGCTGGCAGCCCAGGGCTGAGGGGCAGACTTGGTAACTAAGTCTGAAGTTAGTTTTGCTTTTTCCTGAAGCTGCAAAGGACACACGGAGTTCTACTCCCCGATACTCTTGAGAATAGATGCCGTGGGGGCTGGCTGTGTTCCCCGGGCCTGCTGCCAAGACAGATGAGAGGCTATAAGGAGGCCTAAAGGCCCGGTGGCCCCACAACATGGCCCATGTGTCTCTGTCCCTACCATCATGCATCCACTTAAGAGGTGATAACTGCTACTCACCTGAATTTATTTTGCTGATGACTGATACTGTCCCTGAAGATTTTCCAGACAAACCAGAGCTAGACCATGGATTGGATGGAATGAAGTCCTTGCCTGGATTTGGGAGTATGCCATTTCTTACAGTTATTCCTAGTAGAGAAGAAACAATTTTAAAATGCAAAATCAAGATTTACTCTTGCACGAGACTTCAGAAATGAAATGAACGCAGAACCCAACTCGTCAAAACTTCCTATGGTGCAGTGAGCAAAGCAAAACTGACTGTGGTGGTGCCAGCTGATACACAGCAGAGGAAAGATGCTGCCTTTGTGTTGGTCTGTGGTGGGTGGCCGGAGAGAGGTCTCCTCTTCCACCATGTCTTGACCCACTGGTGCTGTCTTGGGCTTCAGTGCTTCTGGAAGGCCTAATCTTCTTCACAGACCACTCCCAGGTTCATCTCTGCAGTCCTCTGCTCTCTTGTGTCCCCTAAGATTCCATTTTCTTGCTTGACCTGGACTATCATAGCCAACACGTGCTGATGACCCTCCTTGTACCAACAGCCCTCAGGGACTCTGGTCTCTCACACACCCAAGGTCTCCCAGATGTGGCTGCCTGGACCTCGACCCTGATCACCTTGAACTGACGACAAATCACTTTCCCGCTAGAGCGCTCACCTTCCCACTGGAGTCAGGACTACGGCTACTTTGCAGAACTGAATATGTGAGTTCCTCTTTCATCCTTTTCCTTCTTCCCTTAGAACCGAAATGAAGTAAGTCTCCAATTCATGCCTTGCATCTTTCTGCCTGTGGTCACTGTAGTCTGAGTCTTTACTCCCAGTACCTGGACCAGTCCATACCTGTCGTCTGTCTCTTTTCCCAAGTCATCCAGAAACTGTCAGCCTGATCTTCTAAGGCCACAGTGTCAATCCCTGAGAAGTCTGGTAGTAGCTATTAGGTTGCTGGGAAAGTTATGATGTATTTTTCTATGTTTTTCTATGCAAAACTGCATCATGACTTTCACAATGACCCTATAGAAGCCCAGTCAGAGGGTGAGGGTTTACTGCACCAGTGGGGGCTGCCATCCCCACCCAATTCTCCCTTCTGACTGCCCCACCCTGGGCCACTGCTTCTCACCTGGATGACAGCCACAGATTGCCGGATCCTCACTCACTTAATGAAGAGATGTACCTGAAGCTATGTCACTCCTCCAAATAAAACCCTTCAAGAAAGGGCTAAATGGTACCATGGTGAAATTCAATTCTCTGCAAGGCTGACCCGAATTCATATCCAGAGACCTCCCTGCGTATGCTAGGCACATGCATGCCCGTGATGCCTCTACCACATGTATCATCACCTCCTCTCTTACTCTGCTCGGGCTGCACTGGCCTCGCCGCCGTTGCTCTCACAGGCCGAGCCCGTCCTGCCCCTAGGCCTTTGTGCTTGCGGGTTCCTCTGCCTGGTATGCTTGTTCCTCCATTCTCTGCACATCTGGTTCCTTCACATTCCTGACGCACCGGGTATGAGTCCCTTGCTTAGACAGTAGATGACTCTACTGCCATCTGTGATGACTGCTTGTTTATTAGTTAAAGTCTCTCTCCCATCACTAGGACATAAGCTGCACGAGGGCAAGGATGTCTTCAGAGCTGCTGGTAAGTCATTTGTAGACTCTGCTCTGAAGGGGCTCCCTAGAGTCACGCAGCCCAGGGGCCCTGCTCAGCGGCTGAGTCTGCCAAACATTCCCTGTGCTTAGCACACAGCAGATGCTCCATATGTACTTACTGAATGAATGGATCTGTGAATGAACTGGCTAATTCTATAAGTTTAGAATACAGAGAATCTGGAAAGTGGCTATATGCCCACCAAAGTGCTGATGCCCAGCCCATGTAATCCTGCCCAGATGAAGTGACTAAGCTCCTACCCTGGCTTCCTGACAGCACACAGGACTGGCACTTTCTCCTAAACCTGGGTCTTGGGCATGCTGCCTACCTCTTGCCAGTTCTTCCCTCCCCAGGGGCTAGATCCAGTTTCCTACTCAACTTCATTTCTTGTCTTTTTGTTTTAGTTTGCTATAGGGTGTGTGTGCTCCCTGGAGAGAGACAGAGAGAGAGGGAAAGTAAGAAACCACCCCGCTAGGGGAATGGCCACACCAGCAATTCCTTCTCCTCTATTTTCCTCAAAGAACTTTGGACAGCAGGTGGCCATGTGGGATCTAGCCACCTTAACCTCCACACCATCTGCTGGCCCATGACTTCTTTTCTTTTTATTTTTAAAGAGATTTTTGCTATAGGATGTGTGAGTTCACTGGCAAAACAGAGAGACAGAAAGCGAAAAATCACTCCCCAGGAGGGATGGCCATGCAGCAATCCTTTCTCCTCCATTCTCCTCTTGAGGTTTTGGGCATGCACGCACACATGCCTGGCATGAGTTTTAAGCTGCCAGGTCTGGGACTCAAACTGTGGTCAGCCATGTGGGAGTCCAGAGACATAACCATCATGCCATCTGCTGGTCCCAACTTCTTTTCTTAATTGAGTGTGTTATATAAACATGTAAGGCTTGGCATTAACGACTACTTTTAGAATGTTCCCCCACTCCCATTCTGAAGAAATGCCCTCCCTGAGTACTTGCTCCCTCTGAATATGTGATTCTAGGGACAAGACCCCTGATCAAGGATCAGAGTAAAGGCAAATCATTTATCTTACCAGGCAAGTACCGTGAATGCTTCAAGTAGTGTTGCTTGGCCGCGGACCTCAGGGTTGGCGTGTCATGTCTCTGGTATGAAGTCTGGGTAGGCGCGCTGTTTCCTGTGCCCACGGGCTCAGAGGGCTTCAGGTCTAAAACACTCTCGAATCTGAATCAAGAGAATGTGGCTTAGGTCAGCACAAGCGAGAAGGCGCCTTGGCTTTCAGGCAGAGCCAATCTCGGGACCCCCGGGCTGGCGGTGTTGGGAGAACGCAGCACACTTGCCTGCAGAGGGTGTCATCGCTTTGCCTCTTCTTGTTTTTCAGGTCAAGCCTAGTGAGGGATGGGCTGAAATCCAAGTCATCCAAGTCAGCCCAGTCGTCGGAGTCCTTCGTGGACCTGGAAATAAGACCCCACCTTCTTCTACTCTTTGGCTTGATCTCTCCATTTTTGTGTTCCAGGCCAGCTACGACTTTTTGTGTCTACAAGTTACAGAGGAAGGAAAAAAGAATACTTGGCATTAATGGGGCTTATCCATGCATAATCCCTATTCTGAGCTTCTTCTAGTATAGAAAGGAGGATCCTGGGCATAACACCCCCAATAAGGATTGAGTATCTGAAAGGGGGATCATGGCAAACACGCTCAGACCTCCGGCTCGCACCTCTCCTGCACAGATTACACTGACTGTCATCCACTGAGGACACTAAGTTGTATTAAACAAGAACTGTTTTTTTTTTTTAAGAGGATTTGTCCTAGGGTATGTGTGCTTGCCAGAGAGAGAGGGAGAGAGAGAAAGAGAGAGAGAGAGGGAGAGGGAGGGAGGGAGGGAGGGAGGGAGAGGGAGAAGGAAAGTGAGAAACCACTGCCGGGGGTATGGCCACACTGCAATCCCTTCTCCTCCATGTTCCTCCCAGGATTTACAGCATACGCACACATACGCCTGGTGTGATTTTCAAGCCACTGGGTCCAGGACTCAAACTGTAGTTGGCCACGTGAGAGTCCAGTGATGTAACCACTACACCATCCACTGGCCCCAACGAAAACATTTTTATTTGCTAGAGGGTACATGTGCTCACTGGAGAGAGACAGAGAGACAGAAAGAGAGGGGGGAGAGGAGAACGCACCCCTAGTGGGGATGATCATGTTACAATACCTTCTCCATTTCTTTATTTTGTCAGGATTTTAAGTATGCATGCACATGTCCCCAACATGTTTTTCAAGTCACTGGGTCGGGAACTCAAACCGTGCATTCGGCCATTTGGGATTGAGCTCCTATAGCCACCAGACTTGTGCCAAACAAGAATTTTTTAACAAGACATTTGGGGGACAGCAGGTGGCATCGAGGGTTAGGTGGCTGAATCCTACATGGCTGACTGTGAGAGTCAAGTCCTGGACGTAGGAGCTTGAAAATCGCAGTGGGGAGGCCAGCAGGTGGTGTGGTGGTTAAGACACTGGACTCTTCTTACATGGCCAACCATGGTTTGAGTCCTCGTCCTGGTGGCTTCGGTTCTCACTTTCTCTTTCTCACTCTCTCTGGTTAATAGTGGGGGGCCAGCAGTTAGCATAATGGCTGTGTTGCTGGACTCCCATGTAGTCAACCATGGTTCGAGTCCCGGACGGACCCAGTGGCTTAAACTCATGCCGGGCGGGTGTGTGTGCGTGCCCAAGACCCTGAGAGGAGAATGGAGGAGAAGGGATTGCAGTGTGGCCATCCCCCTGGGGGGGGTGATTTCTCGCTTTCTGTCTCTCTGCCTCTCTTTGTCTTTCTGGCGAGTGCACGCACCCTATAGCAAAAACCTCTCCAAAAAAAAATTAATAATAATAATAATACTTAAATTAAATTAAATTAATAATTCTTAAGAAAAAGAAAGAGAGAAAGAAAATCACACTGGACACATATGTGTGCATGCCCAAAATGTTGAGAGGAGAATGGAAGAGAAGGGATTGTGGCATGGACATCCCCCATGAGGGGGTAATTTCTACCTTCTCTGTCTTTCTGTCTTTCTCTGACGAATGCATGTACTCTATGAACAAAATAAATAAATAAATAAATACGGCATTTGAGAGACATTTAAGCCAGCCATGAAGCACAGTGTAAGCACCATGCAGTGGAAGCTGGATCCTATATGGTTGACCAGGGCTCAAGTCCTGGCCCCAGAGGCATCATATGACCAAGATCCTGACGGGATGAAAATTGTTGAAAAAAGGACACTAGCACGACCAGGCCCTGTTGGGGGATGTTTTCTTTCTTTCTCCCACTTTTTTTCTTTCTTTTGCATATACACTCTGGCATGATAAAAGAAAAAAAATTACTTTTAATACAAAAATAAGAAAACAACATTGATCATACATCTCACATACTAGGAATTCGGTTGGATTCTCACTTGGGTCTTATCCCTTTAAGATTTAATATGACTTATACTATTATAAATAAAGATATGAGAGATTGTGGCTAAAATGTCAGCCATCCTGCTGCAGTACAAAAATCAATGTAAATAAGGGACCAGCCATTAGCATAATGGCTATGTCGCTAGACTCCCATGTAGTTGACTTTGGTTTGAGTCCCAGACCCGGTGACTTAAACTCCCACAGGGCATGTGCGCATGTGTGCCCAAGATCCCAAGAGGAGAATGGAGGAGAAGGGATTACGGCATGGCCATCCCCTCTGGGGGGGTGATTTCTCGCTTTCTGTCTCTCTGTCTCTCTCTGTCTCTCTGGCAAGCGCACGCACCCTATAGCAAAAACCTCTCCAAAAAAAAGAAAAAAAAAAATCAACGTAAATAATGCTTTGCCTTCTCAGACCTATTTCTTAACTACAGAATTAGCTATGCCAGGGTATTTGCAAACACGCACCACTTCCAACTCATGGGCTAGGGAAGAGTGAACAGTCCAGAGATGCCAGCCTTGCAGCCTCTGGTAGTGTCTCATGCTGCACTGGTTGGAAGATGAAACTCACTGAATACCAGTTGACAGAGAAAGTACTACTTTTGCAAAAACGTGTTAGAAAGTCAGACTCTTCAGGAAGTAGTACAAAGCTAATGATAACTAGAATTCCTCAACAGGCCTTTGTTGAATCTAACACTCATTGTTTCCTTTTGATAATGAGCTCAAGAGAAGAAGAAAGGGGACCAGCAGTTAGCGTAATGGCTATGTCGCTGGACACCCATGTAGTCGACCGTGGTTCACGTCCCGGACCTGGTGGCTTAAAACTCATGCCGGCCGCGTGTGTGTGAGTGCTCAAGATTCTGAGAGGAGAATGGAGGAGAAGGGATTGTGGCGTGGCCATCCCCCCGGGGGCTGATTTCTCGCTTTCTGTCTCTCAGTCTGGCGAGTGCATGCGCCCTATAGCAAAAACCTCTTCAAAAAAAAAAAAAAAAAGAGAGAGAAGAGAAAAGGTCTGGAATCAATAGCTCAGCATTAACAATATCAATTAACACCATTAATATGAATAAAAACTACAAATATTAGCGTGGTAATTTATGATTTTCCAGACATCTTCATGATATCATGACCTTTGAGTCTCATGAACAACTCTGCCCATGAGCAAGATACATGTTCTGATCTTCCCTTTACAGATGAGAGAACTGACCCCAAAAGGACCAATATGACAGTGACGAATATTTATTTGAGCTCTAACTAGTTGCAAGTACTACTCTAAATTCTTTTCAAGTATTAACTCATTTAACCTCAAAACAATTGCACCAGGTAGGTGCTATTATTATCCCTTCTTTATAAGTGAGGAGAGGAGTAGTAGGGAAGCTCGGTAACTTGTACGAGATCTTCATGCTAGTAAACGGTAGACTAGATCTGAGACCCTGGTAGTCTGGCTGCAGGTCCCACTCTTGACCACTATGCACAGCTGCCCTCCATGAGCAGCAGCATTGTTAAGAAGCCAAGTTGGAGGGCCAGCAGGTGGTGTGATGGTTAAGGTGCTGGCTTCTCACATGGCAATGTGTGGCTCGAATCCCAGACCTGGTGGCTTGAAAATCACACAAGGCACATTGTGTGTGTGCCTAAAATTCCAAGAGGAGAATGGAGTAGAAGGGACTTGGCATGGTCATCTTCCCTGGGAGGAAGGGTGTAATTGCTTATTTTCCCTCTGTTTGTGATGAGCACACATGCTCTATGCCCCACCTCACCCCCCCCCCAAAAAAAAAGAAAGAAAGCAGAGTTAGAACTTGGGTTTAGATCATTAACTGCAAAATCTTTCCAACAGTTCTATGCTACTGCAAAGATAAATCTACATGAGGTCTTCAAAAAGTTCATGAAAAATGCATATAATAAAAAATGTATGCAGGCGTGGGGACCAGCAGATGGAATAATGGTTATGTCACTGGACTGCTACATAGTCAACTGCAGTTCAAGTCCTGCACTCAACAGCTTAAAACTCATGCCAGGCACATGTGCATGCCCAGAATCCCAAGAGGAGAATGGAGGAGAAGGGACTGAGGCATGGCCATCCCCTGGGGGGTGATAACTCTCTTTCTGATTCGGTCTTTCTCTGTGTCTCTGCTGAGCACATGTGTTCTATAGCAAAACTCTCTCTAAAAAAATAAAAGTATGCGTGGATTTCAAAATTTTACGTCAAAATACACTTGTACTTTAATTCCATTTTTCTGCAAACTTTCCAAAGTCCTCTTATATTATAATTAGACCTTACACAATGCCAAAAAAATTTCATATGATAAGTGGACTAAGCTAGGCGAGAAGCTCACTGGTGAACCCTTGCTGCTTACCGACTGAGGATTCTTGTGGAGGGAGGGGAAAAGCAATGGGCTTGGTTTGTCCTCCTGAAGATGGCTTGAGTGATCTGTCCTGGAGATCTCTGCTTTGTAGGGGTACATGAGATGCTGAGGGGGCTGGCTGGTTTGATGCTGTCGTGAAGAAATCCGTGTGTGTGGCTTGGTTGGGGGCTGGGCAGGAGGGACTGGCTTAATATGAGGAGGTGGCCCTGCTTTTTCTAGGATGTCTTTCTGTGCTTTTCCTGAATCCTGAAGGTTCTGTGTGGTGCTGCCCAGTGGGTGTCCAACCTGGAAGTAAGGATATCGAAGTGCCTGGAATGACAAATAAGGCCTTAGGAGAAAAAATCTAGACAGAAAAGTTAATACCATCATTATCATTGGGCTGTATTTCATGTAACCAGTTCACTAGTTTCTTAGCACGAACTAACTATAAAAGAGCATCCTGAATCTGTAACACCCTTGTGATTTCCCTGATCTAAGATACCATAAAATATAGGTACTGGCTACAATGCTTAAAATTATTTTGAATGAAGTAGCCCGTTACACTGCTTTTCCCTTTACTACTTCTTCTTCTTTTTTTTTTTTTTAATTGTCAGAGGGTATGTGTGTGTGTTCATCAGAGAGAGATGGAGAGACAGAGAAAGGGAGAAAGCACCTCCCAGTGGGGCATGGTCACACTGCAATCCCTTCTCCATTTCTCCATCCTGTCCAGACACTGGGCATGCACATGTGCCTGGCATGTTTTTAAAGCCACCAGGGCTAGGATTAGAACTATGATTGGCCACCTGGGATCCAGCTTCCATAACCACCAGGCTTCAGGGCCAGGCCACTACTTTTGCTCCTTCTAAAAAATATTCTGGCTTGACATATGATCCTGGTTTTGTAACTCACTTGTTATGTGTTTTAAGTACGACATTTCCGCTTTCCAAGTCCATCTCCTCATTTCACGTAAAGAGAAAGAACAATATAAAATGGAAAGAGCCAAACAAAATAATCCTGGACAACGGTACAGACTCAAGTGCTTTTACCCAACAAGTGCTGAGTGTGATACGGGACGTCGTTAAACCTTCCCTATCAGGACAACGAGCCTTGGCAGTTCTTCCAGATCACTGAGTTTTCTAGAGAGTCAAGGGATACATCTTCTTTTTCTCTTTTTTTTTTTTTTTTAAGAGAGATTTTTGCTATAGGGTGCATGCACTTGTTGGAAGGACAGAGAGGGACAGAGAGAGGAAAAGCAAGAAATCACCCATTGCAGTTCCTTCTCCTCCATTCTCTTCTTGGGATCTTGGGCACGCACACACATGCACCCAGAGTCAGTTTTAAGCTGCTGGGTTTGGGACTTGAACCACGGTTGACTACGTGGGAGTCCAGCAATGTAACCATTATGCCATCTGTTGGTCCCAGCTAAGGGATCTATCTTAAAGTGCTGGGGTTTATGATTTGTCCTGAAACATTCCTTTGTATTTTTGGATAAAATTCACTGAACCTACCACAACCTTCCCTGATGAACCTGGGGGACAGTCATATACATCGGTAATGATTACACGTAAATGTAGATGCTAGTAATGTGGGTGGCCTGTCAGAGGTCCCAACTCTGGCATCTGTCTTGAAAAGCTTCCTCTGCAGGCCCAGGCATATTGTATGTTTCAAACAATTTGGGAGGTATTTTTAGCTTTTCTGACACAATTCTTAAAAGCACACATTTCTCTTTTGGCTTCTTTTTAGAGAATCTTTTTCTTTTCATCCCTGATGTGTACCCTTTTAAAAACTGGGTTCACAAGAAAGCTTCCTTTCTGCCTTAAAGCCATTTATAAATATCACCACCAGAAGTGCATTTCTGAGAGCTTTCCAACCTTCTTGAGCCATTCAAGGTGTCTTAAAGCACCAAATCATGGCTCTTTCTTCGTTGAGCCTGACAAACCACTTTTCTACACTTTTTAGTTATCCCCCCGCAAACTATTATCTTTAATATCAACGACCCTGGCACTTTTCTCAAGCAACCCCATTACTTCATCTTACCCAAATCATCTTGTCTGATTAGAACCTTCCATTTATTTTATCCTCTGAACAATGTAAATGTCAGTGAGACAAGTTGAGAAGGGGCAGGGAACAACTAAAACAAAAAGAGGCTTGTCGGAAGAATGCAAGTGGTAAGAGCTCTGGGTAGCACCATGCCTCTCTGGTGTGTTTTGTAACCTAAAGTCTAAGTCGAGTGGCCTGGGAAAGGGTGGTTTAAAGCAGGAGGTGTAAAGTCAGAAGACCTGTCTTCTGTGTGACCGAAGTCCAGGTAGCTGTGCTATCTTTACTAGTTACTGGATGAGGGATTACAGCAAATTGCTGAAAATTTCTGACATTCAGTTTCTGTATCTGCAGAAATGTGAAAGACTTTATTTTCATTTCCACATATATAGGAGGTTCATATGCCAATCTTCAAAGCAGTGATACCATTTAAATCTTAAATGCTTTAACTATATGCAGTAAGTTTCATACTATTGGGTTGTGGGAAAAGTCATGATGCATTTTTGCATAGAAAAAATATGTCATGACTTTTCCAACAATCCAATATCTTAGGTTCTTGTATTTTATATAGGATATCTTAGTGGTTTTCAACAGTATTTTTTTTTTTACCCATAATACTAAGTAAAACATTTCCCAGGTGATTTATAGAAAGTATTCAGAGTTAGATAGGAACATCATAAGAAAAGCATCAAGTAGAAGAAAATGCAGAAAACCTGACTAGCTGTTGGTCGTTTCTTGGGATCCCACTGGAGCATGTCTCTGAGGAGCTGAATCGCTTCACTGCTAGCATTTGGAATCAAGGTCTTTAAGTTATTGGGTACACATTGGGGCCAGCGGAAGTTCATAGCATTTGAAAGTTGGTAGCCTTCAGGCCAGTCGGTCTGAAAGAAGGAAAAGGTGGAAAATCATGCTCAGCCAATTGCTGTGACACAAACTTATATTCTGGCACGTGTGTCCGAAAGGGAAAGGCAACCACATCATTACTTCGCTCACACTCTCTACCGTGTCTCTGTATGTGACAGAACTCAGGGATGCACTCGTGGAGGGACAAAAGCAAACATGAGATTGGTCACTGTGTAAAAAAAAACAACAGCTTATTTTATAACCTTTACATAGGTTAATCCATCTCCCTTGAGATTTGGGGTTGAACTAAATTAGTACTCCCCCACTGGGCTTCATGAGACAGAAATTTGGAAAGCTGCTAACGAGATGTTTTAGGAGGAGATGGATAATAAAACACCTCGATCCTGGTCAAATACATTTGTAAAACCCTACATACTACTATACCCCAACGTGCATTAAAAGTATATATGCTCAGATCAGTAGTAAAGAAAGTTGTTTCACCAGACTCTTTTTTATGCATAGAATCCATGGGACACTAAATATTGGAATAGATCATAGAAATTGCTGGACAAATAATCTTTAAGGTTCTTTCTAGTTCTAACTCTATGATTTTATAAGCTACGTCACAATATAATTATTTCTCCTTCTTTTTGTTAAAGCCAAGTGGCACTAAGTGTAGCTCGTGTCGTTCACTCACTTAATTAGTCCTTGAGTACCCACTATATTCTTAGTGTTGTTGGATCGCCAAGAGTAATCCAATATACATCCTGCCCTATATAGTATCCTTATAAGAGAGCACAGGACATGACTACGGAACACAATACTACAAGTACAAAGTGACAAAGACCACAAGAGAGGTACAGAAACAGATATGCAGAGAAGGGAGAGATTCTAGCAGGAGACTCCAGAAACCTTCTTGAAGAGGTGGCATTAAGAACTCATTCAACTAATTAAACAAAAATTTTTTGAGGGTCTAGTTTGCACCAGCAATGGTGCTGGGACCTAGAAGGGAGAATAAACACAAGACAAATCCCTTCTCTGAACCAGCTTATGGTCCGGGGGAGCGATGTACAAGATAATTACATTAATAACACAGGACACGGCTGAAGCTGGAGAGGAGACTCGAGGAACAGTGAGGTGGGAGACTTTCAAGGGCCGTGAAAGAAGAGCAGGACTTGGCGTACAGAGTGTCCGTGCTAAACACAGGAGTGGGGGAATTCAAGACATCCCACCACGAGGTGGGCAGGTGTGAAGTGGAGGGTAGGAACGCGAGTTAAATGGGCTGGACGACAAGCAATCAATGAATACTTTTAGCAGGTGAGGACATTAACCAGAGCAGTTCTTTAGGGGGATGAATCTGGCCACAGACTGAAAAATAAGCTGTAGG